AGTGTTTTTCTTTATAAATTTTGCTGTTTGGTGCGATTTGGAACCTAAATCACACCGCAAACAGCCCTAAAATTAATGACGACAATTTATTTTAAGATTAAGTGAGCTAATGGTGAATTAACCACTATGAAGGGTTAATTATTATTAAAAGGCGTATCAATTGATCGGACTACTAGGCCACTTCAGCAATTGATGCGGCCTAGTGGATGATTCCATTCACACTTCATTATATTACAAATTAAAAGAAAAAAATCCGCCCTAGTAACACGGCATAGAAGAAGAAAGAATAGAAGAAAAAGTAGCCGCAAAAAAATGGGGAAATAATTTGACAAGTTTTCCCTACAAACATACATGCACAATAACACACTCTATATTACTACAATATTGCTGATGCCCTTTCTTTGCAGTATTTTGTGTTGCAGGCCGTGTGAGCCCCCCACCGTTTTCCAACCACCTTTCTTTACTACTTACGTTATTCACTCATCCATTCCCTTCCTATTCTAGAGAATTCTAGTTCGAATGAGATACAAGGACAATACGATAATGCAATTCTCACATGAAAAGAACAAGGAATAAGGCGGATGTATTTGGCTCTCAAGGGGAGCACTTGCATCCCCATTTTGTAAAAAATTAATGAAATTCATGGATCATGTATAATTTTTAAAATTTATTCTAATAGTTTTTGCTCTCCCATTTTTATAACTTGATCTTCTTAAAGACAACACCAAGCAATAAAAATACATTCTAAATATTTAGGCCTTATTATTTCAATTTTCATCTTAATTCTGCGGAGCTTAAATTATTCTTATTGAACTAAAAGTAACACGACCTTGGTAATTTTTACAAAAAAAATTAAAAAAAAAATTATAAATATTTTATCTATATAAACTAATTACTCGATATATTCCATTGTTTTATAAATATTGTAATGTTTGAACCTTAACACTATGTACATCGCTTTTTGTAACCATAAATTGCAATTTATATGTAAGGAAAAATATAGTCGTTTTTATATTTTTTAGATTTGTACTAATACAAAAGGAACGGAGGATGTATGTAAATAAAATATATAACCAACAAGTAAAATACATTATTCTTTATTTTCTACGCTGTAAAGTTAAAAATTTTTGCACCCCCATTTTGAAATTTCTAGATCCGCCACTGATTATAAAAGTGTTTTTAATGAATATTAGTACGTTTCTATTAATATGAAACTTTTTGGAAAATTATTGAAAAATAAATCAATGTGGACTACTAGTCTAAAAATGGACAATATCGGTTCCTTCTAGTCTAAGAAAACCAAATTGTCCTGACTAATGACTATGGTATAATCAAATAATGATGTTCTCATCCTAATGCATGCATCATCTCTCTCACTCTAGTGACACTGATACTAGATTACTTTTTATATGTTTATGGTCGAGATGAGGTAAGATGAAGACACACTTTCAAAACCAATTGATCCTAGCAACATGCCAAATAACATGTGCATGGATAAGAGGAGAATAAGAAGTACAATACTTTCAATTCCATTTCCTTTTGTTGCTAATTACCAGTTTACCAATTACCACTAATCAATTTTACTAATAGGTGTAATAAATGATACAATTAATAATTTACTGTGGTAAAAAGAGTGTATAACATCAACAAAGTGTAACATAAAAAGGGGAGAATAAGAACTAAATCAACACTGCAAAAAAACAAAGAGCAATATCTTATATTAGGTCGTTATCAACAATTAATAACAATGTGTATGTTAGTATGTAGCAAGCTGCAACATGATACGATATGATGCATGCCCCCGGCAATAACCATTGCATTGACTGAATTTATTTAAGGTGCGGCTCTGTTAGTGAGTAGTACCAGTTTCTGCTACAAGAAAGCGACGTGTACGTAGCAAAAGAGAAAAGGACCCCAAATTTTGATTTTTCCTAAATTTATTTTCACTATGTAAAAAAAAAAAAAAAAAAAAAAAAATTGTGATTTGTTGTTAAATTGTTGGATATTGGAATGTATTGTTGAATTCTAATTATTCAATCTTCAGTTTAATTTTATCATAAACTATTAATCTAGTAACTCTTCAATTATTTGGTATTAAAAACGGTAAATATCATTTAAACAAAGAATGCAAGGCCTAATTTTAAAAATTTATTACATGTAGTATAAGACCTTTGTTATTACTCTATTCCTTGTACACAGTCTTTAATTTTACTACCTTTTTAAGCAAGTTATTTACACTTTGTTATTATTATAAAATCTATCTTGAGATTTCTTTACACGTTTTCTTTATACGGAGTATAATTTTCTGTACGTTTTCGTCCTTTTTCTTAAACGCATGTATCATTTTTATACCTATACACTTTTTTTTACATGCACTCAAGACATCAACACTTTATTCCTAATCAGCTTAGTTTATGTACAAATAGTAAAAGTATAGAACTTTTGTGAGCGAAGATATCAACAAAAACTCGAATTCAATTTTGGCTACTACATACAAGTAATAAACATTTGCACGATAGAGAAATGGCCGACGACGAAGTAGAGAAGTTTTTGTTGTTGACAAGTAGAGCTTATTAGAGGGGGGTCCAATCTACTAAACCTCCATTTAGCTAGTCTTTTAGAGGCATGGAGGGATCTTTTCTTTCACATTCACCCCATAGGCTCATACGACCATACCATATCTTTCTTTCATCAGGTCATTGTCTCTTTCTCCTTCTCTCAGCTTGTCCTCCTCAACTAAATGTAGTAGCAACAACATTTTTAGTTGGCTTATTGCAAATTGATCATGACTTGATGATGACTAGATTGAATTTTAAATTGAATTATATGATTGTTAATGTGATTTCACTTAGAGTTTTAGTTGGTACAATAATACGTTTAGGGATAAAAATGGTAACATATATATACTCTTCTCATTTTGGAATAATTGACACGACATCAGTAAAATTTGATAGTTGACACATTATAGTTGTCAATGTAATAATTTGATCAAAATATACATGACTAAACATTAGTCAAAGTTAGTTAATAAATAGTGCAAAAAGAAAAACCATATCAATTATTCTAGTAAGGAGGTGTTAATTTTATGAATGTGAAATGTAATTCATCTACTTCACTGATCTTATGTATAATGTAAAATTTTTGAATGAGCCTGTAATATATAAGTTGATTTGAGGGAGGCTCTCTCATCTTCAACCTTAATGAGGAGGGCTCAATTCTCTTGGTTAAGGAAGTTAGGCTACGTTTTTTTTTTTGTTTTTTTTTTTTAAACATTTTTCTAGAAAAATGACTTTCTTATTTTCCATTGTTTGGTTAGTAAAGGGATGGAAAACAGTTTTCCAATCAATCTCCCATAAGTAGAAAACGTTTTCTTTTTAAAATTGAGAAAGGTATGCTACATTTTCCTCCCTACTTCTTAGAGCAACTCCAATGGTTGGGAAAAGGGACTAGCTTGCAAATATTAAAAATCTTAGTCTAGTAGCTACACCATTGTTGCACATCTTGTTGATTAGCTTTGACAAGCAAATTAGCTTTGTAGAGCTAATTAGCTTGACAAATATTTATTAGATAAAAAAATTATTAATTTAAAAATAAATTAATTTACAACTAGCTTAACCATTAGAGCAACAAATAGCTTGAATTGTTGTAGCTTTAGAAGTTAATGTGGCATACCAAGCTATTAAATAAATTAGTCAACCACTATATCCTTTACCTCTCCTCTTATCTACCTTCTCCTTTCCATTCCTATTTCCCTGTCCTATATGATTTTCTTGTAAGAGAAAATAAACAAAGGAAAAGTATTTTAATAGTTATGTTTTCCTTTTCAAAGTATTTCCATAAATTTTCATTTTTTTTTTAAAAAGTTATTTTCCGTTAAAATAAACGGAGCCTATGAATTGGGACCTTAATTTTCTTAAAGACCCGGGTTTGATATATAAAAATAAAATAAAGACCTTGCTAGTGTAATACGAATGGAAAAGTATTGGCGTATAGGCCCTATGTATTTAGCATGCAAATAGGATGACATTTTTGTAAATAATAAGAACCTAATGGTGGAAAATATGATGGCAAAAAGTAACACTACATGCATAATAGTATACGAAAAGTACTATTAAGAAAGCTTATACTACCTCTGGTCCACTTTACTAGCAAATTTGAGGGTGTTTGCGGAGGTCGAGGCAAAACTTTTAAGGGGTGAATTAGAAAAAGTAAGGGTATGTAATTAAGAGATAAAATTGGAGGGAATAGTTGTGGTCCCCTTTTTGACTTTTGTAACCCCTTGTACTTTTGTGAAAGTAGTGGGAAATTCCCACCCTTATTTCCTGGCAGCAAATGCAAGTAGTGGAAAATATTTTTGCCCACCTTGTTTCCCTCCCAAAGTTTCCCCAAATTTCAAACTTTTAACCAATTTCCCCCAAAATTTAAATTTTAGCATTCAATTCAAACAAAATGCCCAATATAAAACCAGGGCTTCCCTTCCAATTCCCCATTTTCAAAAGATCAGTTTTAGGGGAATTGGGGAGGGGGAAGGGGGGAGAATTAATTCAAGTACAATCACATCAGAAATTAGTTTACTAAATCCAAAATACAGGCAGCCCTAACAAATTACAACCGTCTAAAAGTTGATTAGTTAAATCCTAATTCCTAAAGTTGTGTTAGTAGATGCAGCTTCATTAATTACAAGAATAGGCTCCGTTGAAGACCGTCCAAAAACCACCAGCCGCCACTTCATCACCAAAAAACAACCCTGAAAAATTTAAAACAGAGAAGGGACTCATGGCAGAGTTCGTACACGAACTTATGGATGAGTTAATTAAGAGGACCAGCTCATGGAAGATGATTTGAACGAAGAACAATTCATCCAAGAAGAGTATCAATGGTCGTCAGATTCAGATCAGGAACAAGACTAACATCATGAAGATAATGATGCAGATGGCTATGATGCAGATGATGATGCAAACCAAGAAGAGCTACAACACAATAGCAGACAAACAAGAGAGATGACAGTAGAACAGAAAAGAGCAAATGTTGAGGAGATTATATTTCACATGGAGCGAGGGGGACTCACTACCAAGAGGCTTTTTAGCCAATTTGGCAAGAAAACATTTAGTGCACAAATCTACAACAACAAGATGGTTTCAGGTAATAAAACATTCTCTTGCACAAGGTATTGTTGTTGATGTGAATACAAAAAAAAAATAGGCAGGACAGGACGCAAAGCAAAAGAATACACAGATGAGTTCCTGACATCTGTACCATTGTACAAAAGAACAACTGAAAGGGGATATGCTGCTGCACTGAAAATACCCAAAACAGCATTGGGTAGGCTAAGGCAGCAAGGCCGGATGAGAACACACACAAGCACAAATCACCCAGCATTGACAGAGAAGCACAAAGTGTCAAGACTTAAATGGGTTTTAAGTCTAATAAATCCTGTACCAGCAGTAGGGGACCCAACATTCACTGTTATGCAAAAGTGGATACATTTAGATGAGAAATGGTTCTACATTAATCCAGAAACAAGAACCTTCTACCTACTGCCAACAGAAGATGATCCATACAGGGCTCAACAATCAAGGAGGTTCAAGATCAAAGCAATGTTTATGGGAATGATAGGGAAGCCATTGTTTGATGATGAAAAAAACATGATACATGATGGAAAATATGGCCTTTTTCCTTTTGTAAAGTATGAAAGAGCCAAAAAGAAAAGCAAGAACAAAGATGCAGAGACTCTAGAGACAAAGGCAATTCAAAGTGTCACAAAAGAGTGCATAAGGGAGATGCTGCTAACACATGTCATCCCAACATTCTATGAAAAATGGCCACAACAGTTACCAAAGGACATCATTATACAATGGGATAATGCTAGGCCTCATTAGGTACCAAAGTGTTAGAATCCAACCTCTTTGTTATGTATTCTTCTTTATTTTCCTTATATTTTCCTTATGTAATGTCTCTTTAGTCTTTCTTTTTATTTTTCTAGACCCTAGGGAGAATTATTGTGTTACTGTCATTTCAACGTTCACTTGTAATTCTCTACTAATGCAATATAAAGCTCTTTAGGGAGCGAATGGTTATTCAATCAAAGCTCTCTACCCCGTTGTTATTTCTTTAAGACTTGTGTGTTGTTTAAGCCTTTATAGATATTGTGCTTGCCTTGTTTTAAAGCATCCCCCACCAAACCAAGAGACCCTAGAGACGTCCTCATTTTCGTCGGTTCCGCTTGTGCCCGCTTCGAAGTATCGGCCGTCACAAGCCCCGACTCCGCACTCGTTGTTCTCGTGCGCCCTCTTGAGACACCGTAGGTCCGTGTTGCTGTGTGCTCACGAACCTCCTTGCTTTAGGCTTGCGCCCTTGTCGCCAAAAGACGAGAGCGCGCCGCACGATCTGGTGTTGAATCACTCGGACCGTGACAGTTTGGTATCAGAGCCAAGTTTGCCGTAGAGATGGCAGAAGAAGGAGAGATGCATGAATACACATTCGAGGAAAGACTTGCTTGGCTTGAAGGCAAGTCCGAACAGTGGGCTATGCTTGAAGAAAGGCTGCCCAAACTCAAGGATATTGTAATAAAACAAGCCGACCAAATAGAGAGGCTTGCCGCTACTGTGGATGGGTTAACGGAGCAACTTAACTTCGTGCAAGGCGTCGCTGATGAAGCACATGATAAATGTGCAACCTTAATGCGTGCCCAGAGAGGGCTCGGGGGAAGTGGAGGTGCCAAGATAAAACCTCCCAAGCCCCGGACCTTCAATGGCACGAGAGATTCAAAAGAAGTCGATAATTTCATTTTCGACATGGAGCAATACTTTCGGGTCTGTCAGTTGGAGAATGAGTTAAAAGTTGATACCGCCACTATGTATTTGGTGGATGATGCAAAGCTTTGGTGGTGCACCAAGTACACCGACATCCAAGCTAAGAGGACGTCAGTGGATACTTGGGAGGATCTGAAGAAAGAGCTGATGGCCCAATTTTATCCCGAGAATACCGAGTTTGTTGCTCGCACCAAGCTCGCTGCTTTGCAGCATAAGGGTTCCATCCGGGAGTATGCCAAAGAGTTTTCAGCGTGCATGTTGGAGATCCACAATATGTCCGAGGAAGATCGCCTATTCAACTTTGTGCGTGGTCTTAAGGAATGGGCCCAAAGAGAAATTTGGCGCCAAAAGATTGATACTTTATCGGGAGCCATCGCTGCAGCCGAAAGGTTGATGGACTACTCCTCAGAGAAAGGACAAGGTTTGAAGAAAGGGAATAGCGGGCCGACACCGAACCCTCCTAGGAACTCCGGACATGGCTCGCAAGTGAGCTCCAACAACTCGAACAATAGATACAATAGGAGTGGGGGAGAAGACTCTCGGAAAAGTGGAGCTTCTTCCTTCTCTAGTAGAGGAAGCACCCCTAGTTCATCTTCGACAGCCAGGCCATTGACGTGTATCCTTTGCAGAGGACCGCACAAGTGGTTTGAATGTCGACACAAGGGAGAAATTGACAATCTCCAAAAGAAACTGTCCTCCATGTCCTTAGAAAACCCCGAGGGTGAAGAAGCCGATGAGGTAGTACCTAGTGAAGGAGAACATTCCAGACTGGGGGCCATTCACATGATGTGCGCTATGGGAAGAGAAGGCTCTGAGGGCCAACCCAAAAACTCTGGATTGATGTATGTGAATGCGTTGGTAAATGGAAAGGAAACTCGTGCCATGGTGGATACCGGTGCTACCCACAACTTCATTTCAGAAAAGGAGGCAAAAAGACTTGGGTTGAAGCTCCTACCAGAAGGAGGCAGTATGAAAGCGGTGAATTCAGTTGCCAAACCGATCCACGGCGTTGCCAAGAAAGTAACAATGAAGCTGGGAGATTGGAGCGGACAGGTGGACTTTACCGTTGCGCCAATGGACGACTTCAGCTTGGTGCTCGGCATGGACTTCTTACACTTTAGTAAGGCAGTCCCGATGCCGCATCTTAGATCTATTCTGGTGCCCGGGCAGCAACCATGTCTCCTCCGAACTTGCGATTCGGGAAAAGGGCCGAAAGGGCCCCTCCTTTCAGCAATGCAATTGGAGAAGGGGTTGAAGAGGAACGAGCCCACGTTCCTAGCAACTCTTTCCACGAAGGAAGATGAAGCAAGTGGAGACTTTCCGCCTGCAGTTGCCGAGCTACTATCAGAGTTCCAGGATCTCCTCCCGAAAGACCTACCAAAAGTTCTCCCACCTAGAAGGACAGTGGACCATGAGATTGAGCTGGTTCCAGGGGCGAAACCCCCAGCACGAAGCCCTTATCGCATGGCCCCCCCAGAATTGGCTGAACTCCGGAAACAATTGGAGGACTTGCTTGAGGCAGGCTTCATCCGCCCATCAAAGGCTCCTTATGGGGCTCCTGTGCTTTTTCAGAAAAAACAAGATGGAAGTCTTCGATTGTGTATCGACTACCGAGCATTAAATAAGGTTACGGTGCGCAATCACTACCCTATCCCTTTGGTGGCGGATTTGTTCGATCAGTTAGGGGATGCAGTGTACTTTACAAAGCTAGACTTGAAGTCTGGCTATCACCAAGTTCGTATCGCCGAAGGAGATGAACCAAAAACTGCTTGTGTGACGAGATACGGGGCATACGAATGGCTAGTCATGCCCTTCGGCTTGACGAATGCACCTGCTACGTTCTGTACTCTGATGAACCAAGTATTTCGAGAGTACTTAGACAAGTTTGTGGTCGTGTACCTCGATGACATCGTTGTCTACAGCAAGACTTTGGAGGAGCACCTCGAGCACCTAAGATTGGTCTTCGAGAAGCTGAGAGAACATCACCTTTTTGTGAAACGAGAAAAGTGTGCCTTTGCGCAGGAAGAAGTCGGATTTCTTGGACACTTTGTGGGGAAGGGTCGATTGAGGATGGACCCAAAGAAGATATGTGCTGTTCGCGATTGGCGGGATCCCAAGAACCCCTCTGAGCTGCGATCCTTTCTAGGACTGGCGAACTATTATAGAAGATTCATTAAGGGATACTCAGAGATCGCAAGTCCCCTCACCGACCTATTGAGATCGCAAGGCCCCAGAAGGAAGCTTTCCAGAAGTTGAAAGAAGCAATGGTGAAGGAGCCGGTCCTTGCCCTTCCAGACATCACCAAACCATTCGTGGTCGAGACGGATGCTTCGGATTTTGCTTTAGGAGGAGTGCTCCTCCAAGAAGGACATCCTATTGCATTCGAAAGTAGGAAGCTGAATAATGCGGAGAGAAGGTATGCGGCACAAGAAAAGGAGCTACTAGCCATTGTGCACTGCCTAAGAGGATGGAGGCACTACTTGTTGGGGTCAAAGTTTACCGTCCGCACACACAACACCGCGGCGAGTCACTTTCTCACCCAACCCAAGCTGACAGGAAAACAAGCTCGGTGGCAGGAGGACTTAGCTGAGTTCGACGTGGAGTTCACCTATAGAACGGGATCCAGCAATAGAGTTGCCGATGCCCTGAGTAGGCGGGCCGATCTTGCTGCGATGTACAAGTTAGCGCCAATGACGGCAAGCAGCATTGCCACATCCGTTAGAGATCAAGTTCGTGCTTATCTCCCAGATGATCCGATGACAAAAACCATAACAAGGATGATTGAAGAAGGGAAGACTAGACGCTTTTGGTTGGAAGATGGCCTCATCTTCACCAAAGGTACAAAGCTGTTCATCCCCAAAGCAGGGGGATTGAGGAAAATGTTGTTGAAGGAATGCCATGATACGCTGTGGGCGGGACATCCAGGTTGGCAGAGAACCCTCAGTCTACTCGCGATGGGGTACTACTGGCCAGGAATGAAGGAAGATGTGATGAGCTACACCAAAACCTGCCTTGTGTGCCAGCAAGACAAGGTTGACAGACAGAAGCCCGGGGGCCTCCTTGAACCTCTTCCTGTACCAACTCGACCGTGGGAGAGTGTGTTGATGGATTTCATTAGTGGCCTCCCGAAGGTTGGCCAGTTCTCTTCTATCATGGTGGTGATAGACAGGTTCTCAAAATACGCAACGTTTGTACCCTTGCAGAAGGCTTGCGGAGCAGAAGAAACGGCATCTCTCTTCTTTAAGCATATTGTGAAGTACTGGGGATTGCCAAAGAGCATAGTAAGCGACAGAGATACCAGATTCACGAGCATATTCTGGTCTGAGCTATTCCAAATGATGGGGTCTGACCTCAACATGTCGTCAAGCCACCACCCTCAATCTGATGGGCAGACAGAGAGATTCAATGGGCTTCTCGAGGAATACTTACGTCACTTTGTGAGCGCCAACCAGAAAGATTGGGTGAGACTCTTGGACGTCGCACAACTTTGCTTCAACGCTCATAGGAGTTCTTCTTCCAACAAAAGCCCCTTTGAGTTGGTCATGGGTCAACAACCTCTCCTCCCGCACACAGTGGCTGACTGGGAGGGCGGTAGGAGTGCTCAGGCTCGAGATTTTACAAGAGAGTGGAAGCAAAACACCGACATTGCAAAAGCCTACCTAGAGCGAGCATCGCGCCGGATGAAGAAATGGGCTGATCAAAACAGAAGGCCAGTTGATTTTGCTATTGGGGACATGGTGATGGTGAAGGTATTACCAGAACAGCTGAAGTTTCTCAGAGGGAGAGATCGTCGCCTCATTCGGAAATATGAAGGCCCCATCCGCATCACTAAACGGATTGGGAAGAACGCATACAAGGTAGAACCGCCTGCGTGGATGAGGATTCACCCCGTCTTCCACGTTAGTCGTCTAAAACCCTACCATCCAGATCCCGACAACAGCAACCGCAACGTCACCTACCGCGCCAACATCAGAACCAGGACAAGAGCCACCCCTACAACAGAAGACTGAAGCTGCTAAGATCTTAGTGTAGATTTTGTAAGTCGACGAGGACGTCGACGACTTAAG